TATAATATGTAATATAATAAATTAACTTAGTTTATTATTTTTTAAACTATTAAAGAAATAATTAATGTAAATCAAAAAAAGTTGGGAATTGGGATTCTCGGCCACTAAGGGAGTGATTGTTTACAAAATAATTTACTCACTTTTATTTCAACTCAAAATCTAACCCAACTTTAATCCAACCCCACTATCTTTAATATTATTCATATAATTAAATAAAACAAACAAATCATTCTTACACATCACATCAACTTTAATTTACTATTCATCTACTCACATAATTTTAACTACCTATTATTTCCAATCATTTATCTCTTACTTTTACATCAAATCAATTTTAATTATTTTATTTTAAATATTATTTTAATACATTCTTAAAATTCCACTACAATTAACCATACCACCTTTTTCAAAATTAACTATAGTTAACCAAATAACTCAATTTGAACAAATTAATTCATAAACAATCAAGCCCTAAACATTTGAGAAAAACTTGAGAGCAAAAGAGGACGAATCGACGAGAGCACTGGACAACCAACTGAAAGAAAAAAGAAAAAAAAAATATCAATTGAGATTTGAGGCATCATCTTATTGAATAATTTGTAAGTACTTTTTTCAATATCTTTATTTACGAACTCATTTATTTGTTCCTTTTGAGCCATTTAGGATTTAATAAAGTTGAATGTATGAGATTTCTTCTACTGTTTGAGCTTCATTGAAAAAATTTATATATGTACTGAAAAACAATTAAATGATTGTTAAGTAGTTTGAATTAAATGTGAATTTTAGTAAAAAAATTTGTGGAGTCCTCCCACATTATACGGTGGTACAAAATCAAATGGAAGAAGTGTATAGACTATTCTTAAAAATCTATAGTAGGTTTTTATTTATGAATTATGAAAATGTTGGTGTACTTGTTACTGCCAACTTAACATTGAACAAATATACATAGTCCAATTTTACTTAAAAATATATGTCTTTATCAAAAAATATTTCGTCCCCCCAATTCATTTTTCTGGATCCGTCCCTGGATTGATTAATATTATTTAATCATATTAATAATATCAAAATATTAAAATTAAGTTAAATTTAAATTAAATTTAGAATATAATTTGAGTATGAAATATGAATTGAGTTCTACCCGTTTTTAAGCAGCAAACACGCGTGCGGAAGGTAGAATACACTACCCGTTTTTAACTAGAAAATACCTTTCACAACCTTCGGAAACTGTCCTCTATATAACTACAAAGGACCTGAAAAAATTCCAATTAGACCCGAAGGTGAAGCGTAAAAGACGAGGATCTACATAGGGTTTCAATATTACTCCTCTCTCGCCATCTTTCTAGTTTCTACCTTACTCCGTTGAAACCGATCGATCCATTGTAATTAAGCCGACTTTAAAATCGATTGAATTTATTCTAAACATATTTTTTGGAAATCAAATCGAATTTTTTTTTTTTTTCCTTACATATTTTGATTTGTTAATATGAGAAGATCGCACAAAACCAAAAAGGTTTCTTGGGCTTCAGATCTTAATCTTTGTCAGGTAAACGTTTATGAAAACCATTTAATTCGTGTGTTTATTTGGTTGTGTGTTAAAACTTAAATGACAGAGCTGAAGTCTTTGTTTTTTGAATAAATTAATTAATTAATTAAATAATTAAATGTCTGGAAAAAGATGAGAAATATTTTTGAAGTAATTAATGATGATTTTAGCGGTTAAGTACTAAAATAGCATTGTTGAAGTTGATTGGAAATTGTTGATCAATTGATTATGGGATGAACAATCAACATTTTTTGTCAAAATAAATTGTAAATAATACTTTAATTATGTGTGTGTGTGTTGGTGTTTACTGAATCAGTCTCAAAGTTTATCATCCAAATATTAACTTGAATGTTCACTTGATAGATTAATTTTCTCTGTAATGGTAATATTATTTGTCTTTCTTCTTCTTTCCTCAACAGGTAAGGTTGTTTACGTCAGAAGAATCTCCTTCACGAGTTGCATTGGGAACTCAAGACCAATGGCCAATTGATAACAAGGCCAATGACGATTTACCGCCGGGCTTTGAAGGATGCCGGCCGACAAGTATGTGGCGAGTCGATTTCAAATTGCCTCAAATACCATTGGTAAAGTGGAGATGCCCACGGAGGGTAGGTCGTCCCTTTTGTTTTCTTCGTGACGACGTGAAATTACAACAGTGCTTTTGATTTTTCGGTTCCACTTCATGGCTGGTCTCGTCTTAATGTCTCTGCAGTTTGAATTAAATCCAGAGTGGCAAGTGGTTGCTGGGGAAGAGAGCAATGAAGTGAAGGCCCAGAGTCGACACGAGATGAGAGTGCTCGAAGCTGTTTATCCTCGACCCTCCTCCATTCCTCCAAAGTATGATGTTTTTGCTTTTTTACATACTAATGACAAAAACAACCTGAAATTTTTGAAAACTACTCATGGAGGTTTATTTAATTGTCCTCTAGCTTTTTTTTTTCTTTGGACTGAATTTTTTCTGCTTGCGATTTTCTCGTGCAGCCCTCATGGATTACTGGATGCAAGGAACTCAACTGCATTCGATAAAACCATCCGTGTGATTCCCATCACACCAATCGAAGAACATGATGCTATGTTAGATACATGGTTTAATACCACAACACTAGTCCCTAGCCTAACGAAGTTTTCGCCCCAAAGCTCGACTGAACATACCGACATTGATGCCAAGGGGACAACACAAGAAGTTCACAAAGCCGATATATTAGCTTCCATAAGTTCACTCTTGTCCAAGTGCGACAAGGAAAAATTAGTCGACCAAGAGTTGCTCGTTAAAATTCTCAGTGACCCGAAACTAGTTAACCAACTCATTGAAAACAACGGTGTACGCACTCCAAATGTGAAAAACGAGACATCTGTTGGAATGAAAAATGTTGGGAATTTCGACGCTCAGAATCTAACATCCAATTCGCATAATTTTCCATATAATTGCAACGTAATGCCATGGTCGATAAATAATACTGTGAACAGAATAGAACATTGGACACCTTCTGCTTTGGTTGCATCTAATGGAACACTTCATCCTCCTATTCCTGTGGAGGGTCAAATGAAAAAGGATGTTAACTACTACAAGAACCTCATTCGGCAACACGGTAATGAAAACGAAAACTTTTTCAATGGCCAAGAACAGAGACATTTTGATTTTGGAAAATCGAGAGAACCGAAACAGAAGGTTGGGAAATCGTGCATTTATTTCAATAGTCAAAAGGGTTGTAGGAATGGGGTCCGTTGTAATTTTCAGCACGGTGTGTCGACCCGAAAAGTAGTCAATGGTTTTGCAGTCGACACACGAAAAGTAGTCAATGGTTTTGCAGAGGTTCGTAGTGCTAAGAGGGTGAAATTAGGTGGGGTAATTACTGGTAGATGACTCTAAGTTAGATGGTTCGTTGATGATTTTGAAAGCTTTGTTGATACTTCCTGTGTTCTGGGGAATATATTTCTCCTTGGCTACAATGTGACAACTTCTTGTATTTCTTTTATTTTCTTTTCCTTTTTTTGTCTATCTTATTTATTTAGCTAATCATGTTTTGAAAGTCTATAATATAAATGGACCAACTTGTACCGGTTGGAAGTTTTGCCATTTAGTGTTAGTAGTGCAGCACAAGTTTTAGATGTTTGCTTCAAATAGGGGCGATCTTCTGTATGTTTATACATCTGTGGTAATTGTGGTGTTAGAAGTTTAAGCAACCAATCAATCCATTGATAGAATTGTATTTAACTTTATTCGAAAAAAATCTATAAATTCCAAGAGCATTCATATTGAATAATCGAGAATCATAACCGAATAGCGGAAGCGTACCTGATGGATTCAGGTTGATTAATTAATTGGATTTGGAATTTGAAAATCTTCCAAAAAGCCGTCATCCTTGTTTTCTTCTTCTTTTTCTTTCTCTCGGACGTCGGACGTAAGAAAGAAAGAAAAACTTATTTTTCTGGAAGAAATTGATAATCCCAACCCTCCTTTTATAATTGATGAGCAATATGGTTACCAACAACCTTCATTAATGCCACACTTAATTCAAAGTGTCGGCAACAATATAATTTTTTTTATTCCTTATGGGTTATCCTAATGGGGATCACTTAATTTTTACGGTTTTTGGGGATTCCGCCCATAAATAATTTTGACACAAATTATTTGCTATTTAAGTCCTTAATTTTAATATTATTATTTGTTATGTTACCAAATAATAATATTACCGGGTGTTCACATTTAATCATTCCACAATCTAAATTAAATTCCTTAGCCAATGTACAATAATTTGATCACTTAATTTGGCTAAACAATATACCCAATATATCAATTACACATATTTAATCCCAAAATAAATCTAAGATCCTTTTCATTACACATTGTTTTGATTAATTGTTATTCAATCATGTTCAAATTTATTTATTAAAAATTTTTGATGATTATATTTGCTTTATTAATATCAATTAGCATTAATTTGACCAAGGCATGGTAAGATTTTTTTTTATCATACTGAATGCAACATATATACACTAAGATCAAGCATTTTTATTTTTATTTTTTTCCGAAAAAGTAGAGATATTATATAACTTAAAACCGCAGATGTGCCAAGAGAAAACAACCAAAAGTTGAAAAGTACACTCAAAGGCTGAAAAGACTAGGAGGACATATCCGAAGATTGCCTAGAGCCTGATTCAACATTTGTATAATTAGATGCAATTAATGACTGGCTTTATTTGTCTAAGAGCATCTCCAATGTTCTAATGTTGTTATTGAATTTTTTTTGACAAATTTCAAAAAATTAAATAGATTGTGAATCATGTAGGACAAATGTTGAGTTCACAACTATTAAATTAAAAAATCATCTCCAATGCACAATGTTGCCTAATTACAATATTATTTTACTTGCCAAATAATAAAATTTTAATAGGAATTAATAAAATTAATTAAATAATTAAATAGTTTTGGAAATAGTAATAATAATTCTCTCTCTTCTCCCCATTGGCTAACTAGAGCGTGGAGTAGAATGTGGATGAACCACATTCTTCTCTACATTGTAGACATTAATTATGTCCACATCATTGTAACATTAGTGATCACATTGTACATTGGAAGATGAAATATTGGGATATTAATAAATGTGTTGATGTGGAATGTAATTTATCACTACAACATTGAGCATTGAAGATGCTCTAAGAGTTTGTCTGCTGAAAGCAAACGAAAAAAGTTTACTCTTCCTAGTTGGCTTCGCATATGGATGAACTTACCAAGCATGGGTTTTGGAAAGTTCTCGTCTTCAATTGAATTCAGTGTTGACTACCGCAAAACTCCTATGGTTCTGAATTTGCGCTGAAGAATATCGAAAAATGTTAACTCCATTTATTTATCTTGTTTGATATTATTGGAGTACTACTTTCTTATATGTAGTTTGTTGCTTATTTCTTGTACTTTTGCAGCCGAGGGAAGCAGAAGAGAAACAACAATAATTTTACATGTTTTGATCAGCTTTACGACCTTGGGCCGGCATTATTCAATCAAGTCAGTCTTGAACTGTGGAATCATGGGAGGCTGTATCATCTAGGCCAAGATTGCTAGAATTAGTGTATGAGATGTTCTCATACATTTTAATATGTATAAAACTACCGCCTATGCCTTTGTCGCCTATTTGATGCCGAAGGGTTTATCATCTATTTGCTTAAAAAGACGATGGTTCTTAATTTGCAAGATAATGTTTTCCATACTATCTATGGTTGATTCACAACTCATAAGCAAATTAGTGATCATTTTTGAATAATTTATTGGTGGTACAACGGATGTGAATGGGCACGTTAGCTGATTCGGTTTTATTCGTTGAAGCGAATACAAGTAATTTTGTAATTTAATAACTACCTTTTTTTTATTACACAACTTTCACTATTTTTTGCAATTCGAATTATAGGTCTGCTATCATCCGACTCGGTAAAGCACAATTAAGGACCTTGAACAACATCTCAAGCGAATTTGACTCCAACACCGAAGTGATCCCTACCCGCCGAGGTTATTTCGAACCGAGGTCAACACGAACCGAGGTCGTCACCTCCTAAAGCAGGTGACAAGGTGCCTACACGCCCCTCTCACAATCCACAAGATTTGTTATCGTTTATGTAGGGCCCACTGGCTCTGCCGCCCATCAAAAGTAGCTTTATCGGAAAAGCAACGCACGGATCCCGATGTATATATCAAAAAAAGTTACTATAAATAGCTAGCTAATGGTACCTGTACGGGATTCGATTCCAAAAAACCGAACTCTTTTATAATGAAACACGAAACAGCTCTCAGAAGCTTTTCACCTCGGTTCACCTCAGACCGGGGCCAATGTTGAGCATTTTGTACTTTATGTTCATATTGATCATCATCATTAAGATCATCATCATTAAATCAATACAGAACTAAATCGTTGTTAGGAATCACATAACAACAGTTTAGCGCTAGAGGAAGGGCCTCATAATTGATTTGAGGTTAATCTCCGATTCTTGTTTAGCGATTAACGTCCGCCATATCAATCATGTCTCATTCAGATCATCTTGGTCATACTTTGCGAGATGGCTACTGTCGTAGCGCTGCGCAATCCGCCAGACGACAAGTCGTAGCTCCCCATATACCAGATTACATTGTTCTGTTTCAAAATCCAGAGTTTGCACGTGGTTTCGCCACCCTGATGGCTCAAACGATCCCTGGAACATCAACGACTGCACCAGGACATTCCATCATACCCACGACTCCCGCAAA